TGAAATTATGAACATTGCTCAACATCATGAAAATTAAACCTTATTTTCAATAAGCAATCCTGAAAAATATTTGGGGGTGCTTAACTTTTTTCCAAGTGTATATATACCTCACAATAATTAAAATAAGAACTTCTGAATGAAAGTAAAGAACAGTGTATGATAATTTGTGAACACAAAATTTCTGCTGTATCCAGTGCCAGTGACAACCATTCAACTTATACAAGTGTTGCCCATAAGAAGAAAAAATCATATTACATGGATGATCCCACATGCTGAATAATACTCTCAAGTCAGAAATCATAAAAAAGTTGAATTTCACCAGAACTTCAAAAATTATGCTAAACTAATTTTTGTTTGAATTTGACTCTTGGAAATTAAGTTTAGTTTTTCCCAAAACCATCCAAGTTTCTACATGCTTACTTACCATTTCAACTACAGCTAATAGAAATATGATGAAAGCAGGTGAAATTACAATAAATGTTTGAAAGATTGTTTCCAATTCATCTGTAGTTACCACAATTTTGATTTTATTATTTTGTTTTCCCAATTTTACCACACTGAAATTTATTTAAGGCCTTTCTAGCAAAATTATATATTTCACAGGCCTATGGAAAAATTAAAAAAATATGTTTTTATTTTAAGAAGCAAGTTTGAAATTCTAACAGATTTCACAATTATAATTTTACTGTACATGTACATCAGGCATTGTGTTGTTTGTATTAGCACGACAGTCCCAATGAAAAACTTTATAATAGATCTCATTCTTTTGACTAAATTTGGGTAAAACGGTTATATTCAGTGGTCGAGTAAAAAAAATAATAGTACATGTCAGAGGAGTAGTGTGGTAGAAACCTGTGGGCATGATGTACTTGTATTTTTTGTAAGCTGGAATTTCATGCCGCCATTATTTCAAATGAATCCCACGACACACAGTTATGCAATAGATTTCGCATTCTGGCATTTTTTTCATTTAGTATTATGCCACTATTAAATGTTCATCTTTTAAGAGCCAGATGTTTTAAAAATAAATAAATGAACAGTGTCTGTGAGTAGAAAATACAAAACGTTAAGTGAATAACTGAAGCAAGGCAGCACCATCTGCAGGTGGATGCTTTTACTAATAATCTACTTCCTAAAAATAATGTAAATCTGAACATATAGCAGATAACCTTCTACTTTTAAAGCAATGATAGTCCTCCATTCTACAGTACAGGTGGGAGTTAAGCCTTTTAAATAATACTAAATAATTTCTGTTTGTATATTTCTTTATATATGTGTAAATGCATTTAGATTTTCATTGTAAAGAAGAGAAACATTTATATAAGGTCTATACAACAAACAAAATAAAGACAGAAATCACATGTAAACAACAATAAAGAAAAACCATCCCTTCAGTGCTCTTAAATTAAAAAGCAACTACTTGATTTTTGACATCATTCATACGCACAAACTTTTTTTTTTTTAACTCGAGAGAAAAAGCATGGAATTGTGTTAAAGTAAAAACTAGTCATAAGTCTTGTGAAGAATAAACAAAACAATATATGATCTAATGTGGCCCAAGTTTAAAAGTTGAAATGTTTTAATTTGATGCTGAAATCACACTTATAATAAATTATATTTTAATACAGGTTTTAAAATTTTCGATATAGAGGCAAAAATTAATTTTCCAACTAACTGTTTAAAAATGATTTCAATATAACACACTATATGCATACAAAGTTTACTTTTCCACTTATACTTTAAAGCTTGGCAACCCACCACCCATTTTTTTTTCCTACTTGCTACAGTTCATATCCCTATTATTATAATGTCCTGGATCTGAAGGGTATAAAGCTGATTTAAGGTAATTTGATTAAATGTTCCTTTTATGCTTAAACTAATTATACTTCTAATTTGTTTTGATATTGGATATGTTTGCCTAACAAAATACCAATTTTTAACAAAAAAAAAACGTATCTAATGTATGATATCATTATGCTTTTTTCACTGAAACTTGCTAAAATATCAATGTTTACTGATTATTGTACTTTTGAGGATTATGCAAGTGTAGTGGTTGACATAAAAAAATTTTAACCAAATATTTAAACAAAAATTGTCTTAATAGCTACCTCCAGTTGCTACTTTTTCAGGTCTTCCATTTTCCACAGGTTTGTTCTTCCCAATCTCAAGACTAGAAGTTACACCTGGTATGATTGGCAAGTTTTTGGGAGGTGTTTTTGCAACAGGAGAATTTCGTAGCTGCATCAGAAATGCTCGCTCATATATGATTCTGGTACCTAAGATATACAAGTAGTGTAGCAATGTAGTAAAGACATTTCTTTGAACTTCAATTCATAAAGTTTCTTTCTGCTATAGTATAATTAATTTTGTAAACATTCTTTGCACAATAATGAAATGTGAACTGTGTATGAGAACTAAAATAAAACAATGCAATTACAATATACTATTGGCAGTTGTAGTTTGTTAATTATTACTATTAGTGTTTTTTATTTTGTGGTGAAGCTACTAAGGCTATCTGTTACTGTCCCTAATTTGAACTGTCAACCAGAGGTAAGGCAACTGGCTGGCAACACCCACTGCTCATTCATGGGCTACTCTTTTTACCAACAAATAGTGAGATTGACCATCATATTATAATGCCTCCACAGCTGAAAGGGCAAGCATGTTAAGCACCAAGTTTTAAACTTGTGATACACAGATTGCAAGTTGGACAATTACCAATGGGCTATATCAATCCAATTATTAGTAGGAAGTAACAATTTTAATAGAAAATATACTTGCATAAAATAAATTTCATTTATAGACAGTGCTTTGTCAATCTTACTACTCACATAGTTTGTATTTAGTTATAGCTAAGTTTTCTTTTAAAACTGATTGTCATAAATCAAACAATTTGTTTTCATGGTATACTTGTGAAAATGACGGTTTTTGACCTAATAACTTGTCACTAAAATAATTTCAAACTGTTTTTTAAAATACCAACATTTATAAAAATATCTATTTGGAAGTTTACATTCATGGTGTTCTTAAACTACATATTTTTATTACAACTGGACTATTATTTTCAACTTTATATTTATAGTTCTAACTTTTCATCGTGCAAATTTAAAATCCTTTATTAATTTCTGTTTTTACTACAATTTTGTTGATTAATGTGTATTTATTGTGCAATAGCAACTTTCTACCACTACTTCAAAAGTCAGGATTGTGAGTTCCATATCGTAAACTTATCATATTAGTCAGGAGGTAACATTGTAGAAGTAGGTCAATAATAATCGATAAAAACGATGCCACATGGCCCATCGCGTCATGACTATGATATAATTATTAACTCCCATTAGTTTATCAGTTTACATACCCGTTGCAAAAAGCAATGAATTAATCACAATTCCATGGTATACATGAAAAGTAAACTTAATATGAACATTTAAAAAATATGATAGTCCAGTGACTTCGAAAATCAAGTCGAATAATGTACAGAAAGAGCATTTCAAGTGTTGGTCTAATAATCGATTTCAAGTCCAAACAACGTCACGTGTCTCAAACACACCATGTTTTGAAAAAGCAGAAATGGTTCAGTGGTTCATATTAACGTACGAGTTCAAATATTGATCGACAGCTTCAACTGGTGTGAAAAATACTAAAATGTGATACGCAACAAACAAACTTTAAATTTTAATATGTATACTGGTTTAACATTTTCGAATGTAAAGGAAATAATACAATGTTATAAATAGTCATACCGCCTGGTGTTGTTGAGAAGATTGTGCCTCCAGGCGTTGAGCTGTAATCACTTGGGAGATGCGATGCATCATTCAACACAATACTTCTTGCTGGAATACTAAGCCTTTCACTATTCATTTGCTCTGGAGAATGTGCCGACATTTTCTTTGTTTCTTATAAAAGGCTAAAGAAAAATTACAACAATACTATTCCTTTCACTACTCTTTAGCCTCTCCTATCATTTGCTGCTACTTTCACCTCAATCTATTCTTGCACCAGCAGATGGCGCCTTTTGGAAACGGATAGGGAATGCTGAAGTACCTGTACTGATTATATGAGAGCGTTCAAGAGCAGAGCAAGTACGCAGTATCCTCGATCTTGTCTTTCAGAAAAGAAAAAACTTATTTTCCTGCCACGAGTGAAAATAAAAATCTTAAATTGTCGTATATATATATATATATACATTTATGAACACTAATTATGCATAGTTTTTTAAGAATAAGTAAACTAACTAAACATAGCATAAATACAAGCATGGAAATATTTATCTTATGTTTAGTTCAAACTTATGAATGAAAATTTAATAATAAAATAACACATTGAAAAGAAAAAAATACGAGAATATTAGCAAGTAGGTGAAATTGTTGTGTTAGCTTCTGCTGTGAACTTAAGCTTATCAACTATTAAGCAACAAAATTTGTTCCTTTCAATGATAGTAATATTTTACAAAAACTTCAAAATAAGGTTGTCAAAAAGCAACAAACAACTGCTGAGGAGCTGAGTAACCTGAACCAGTTCCGCTATGGTGATTTTCAATGCTATATTTCTGTTCCTTATCATCTGCGTTCAATACAAAATGACCAGGATAGGAAATACGTACAAATATTGTGCATCATATGTACACAGTAGAAAAAAGGCAGAAGTCATGAAACAAAAAAAAAAAGGTGAATTATAATGACTTCTTACCAGATTTTGAAATTTGGAGGTGTTAACTGAATGTATATTATCAATAAAAACAAAACTTCCTAATTTACTTTATACTACCTTACAATGTTAACGAAACAATGCTCTGTAGGTAAATAGTTCTGAAAGTACATACACATTTTCCTAATGTTATTACATTACAAAGGTAAACAATTTTAGAACTACACTATTACGTTATAATAGCTTTTAATATTCACGCATGGTACATTGTTCTTTGGCTAAAGAGTTTTGGAACTACAATACAAAGTCCAAAAAACAAAAACAAAAAAAAAACAAGGATAATGTAGCATATCGTGTGTTATCTTCTGACAGTTCACATTTATATATAGATATTTTGGTTATAGAACTGTAGTTAGAAGTTACAAAATAATATTTCATAAACAAAATTGTTTCGAAAAATAACTGGCAGATTCGTTTAAAGTATTTTTAAAACAATAAGGCGTTAGTTTCATTAAGTTTAGATTTGATAGAAACCACTGTAATAGAAAGTCCATTTTTCATAATCATTTATTGTTATTGTACGTTCTAATTAGAGTATCATGGAATTTATGAGTTTGATGGTTTTTGTTTTATATATGGAATGTTTTGAGGTTTTTTTCTTGCAAGAGGTATAAATTGTTTTTGTTATTATTCATAATACTTATTTGATCCCACGGAAACATAGAGATGGTACTATTTCCTTTAAGACATGCTATTAGATTGGTTGTTTTAGAAAAAATAAAGCTCAAGTTTACAAAATTGTGTAAATGTAAAAAAGATGTGCATTAATTTAATGTCAAATAGCTTATTAATATTAATGTGAATGACATATTTTTATAGCCAAAGAGCCATGACTATAAACTATAAACAAAAATTATTTAAACTGCATTTGGACTGTTTTTAGAACACACAAAAATATTGACAACAAATTTATTATTGTTGGAACAACAATAATAATATGTTGAAAAGTATGATGCATTCACAGTATTTTTATTTTGAACGACTATGTAAATATTCTGGCAAATTCACAAGAATCCATGCAAACAATTTCAAGAGCCCTCGAAACTTCGGCCCTTATATGGTTAAAATGAAAAAATTCCTAGTAATGAATTTAGATTTTTCTTAATGACTTATTACCTATCAATAACATTTGTTTTTTAAATCGATTCATTGAAACGTGAGAGCTCTCAAAATCTCTATTCTTTATTTACGGAGGTCCCTATGACACTTTCATGTTCACAAATGTTTTTTTTTGTCTGCAATATGTGGGAGTCAGAACCTACACTAGAAATTTCAAGTTATTTTATCAAAAACTGTAGGATATCAGTTGATAAATAAAGTGAACGGAGGTATAGAAACGAAGGTACAGTTGAAAATCACTACATATGTATTATATTCCAAATCTGATTTTTCTCTGCCTATAAATACATTGTTCAATTTAACAAATAACTTATCAGAACTCTACATTAAAAGCAATAGCAAGAAAATCTATAGCTTTTGTTAATGTATAATGTTCTTAAACTGTTATGGGAAGGGAAAAACAACTGATAGTAAACTAATTCTTAAATAGCTGTTACTTTGTAACTGTTTCAGATTTTTATTATATGTACATTCGAATCTTATCTACGAAAGAAAAGTGAAAGCTATACAATTTTCACTTGTTAGCATCATTTTAACATCATTCAGCAGTTGCAATGGGAAGTCTTGTTGTATGTGAACATATAACGTGTTTTCTACCTTCTTATTTTAATGCGCAATTTTTAACACTTTCGTTTATTCTGAATCTATGAAGTTTTTGCATTACACGTGGTCCAGAAAACTGTTGACCTTTTCTAGCTTCGTTTGTTTTTTTGTTGTTCTATAGAGATAATATCTGCTTTACTCGTGGGTGATATTGCTGTAGTGCTGCACATTGTGCAAGAAGGTCAACGACAGCAGTGACTTCACTAATAGGGCAAATTATATTTAAGGTTACGGCTTCCCTCATATTGAATGAAAATAACCAATTACGTGGGTAATGCTAGTCGCTATGGGTAAATCTGTCGTTTCCCATTAAATGACAAATTTCACATGTAAACAGCCCAGAAAAAAGATCTTAAGTGAACTGCTTGACATCTCTAGGGAAGAAGCCTATTAACCAATTCATGGATTCAGTAGAAGGTGGTAATGCAGTGTCTTAACACAAAAACACACACTGTATTCTGTGTATTGAATAAATAAAAAATATTTTAATTTTATATCACACATCGTGTCCAGTCTATTTTTTAGCTTGAACTCATTTAATAGTTAAATTTGGAATTTCTTCTGTGCACATACATGTAATCATATAAATTTACACGTTTATCTTCATCTATATACTACTAAAACTCTGATATTGTTTGTTTGTGTGCTTGTCTGTAATCAAATACAGCAAAAACGGCGCACAATAGTACCATATTTGTAATG